GTGAGGGAGATGCAATGATCAGCGGGCCGGTAGGCCGCGTGCTGCCTGCTGTTAGCCGCTGGTGTGCGTCCTCCCCGGTCATAGTGAACCGGCCGGCCTTGTCCACCCAACAGATGTCCACAGCGCCAGTAGTGCCGGCGCACACTGTGGTGGTAAAGAGGTCAATGAACACGCCGAGCTCGTTGTGATGATCATAGAAAAAATGGAACAGAGTCTCGGCCTGCTCTTTGGTAGTCAACCTCCCCGGCGAGGGAAAGCCCTGCAGCCGTTCCGAAATGTAATCGGCAAAGGAAGTGCCCTCGGCTACCACCCGGTGCGCGGCGCCAGTCTCTGCATTGGCTGGCCGTGGGTTACTCAAGCCTAACCCGTGTTTCAAGGTATCAAAGACCTTTGTGGTTGGCGTGACCACGGTGATCTTCTGCCCCGCCTGCACAGCAAAGCGGTGGCCGCACACAGTGTAGGCCGAGACAAGGAGGACACAAAACCATTCAACCACCAGGCCCTGGTGTACAACGGTGGATGCCCGTTTGGGCAGCCGTATAAAATAGCCTCCAGGCTGAGGTGTGCCATCAGCCGCAATCCTCTGCACACGCCTTGCGGGCGTGTCCGCTGCCAGCTCCCCAATGGTGATGGGACACGGGGAGGAGCCTGTTGCAGGGAGCAGAAGATTGGACTGGGGGTATCGAATGGCTGTTATCAACAGATAAAGATCTGCCAATAACCGTGTGGAGGCGACCATGGGCCAGATTCAGGCACACCCCATTGATGGGCTCTAGGACTCTAGGCCTTCAGCCTGCGAAGCAGTATGGGCCGGAGCAAGTATTGCTCCGACTGCCGACAGGCGATTGAGGTAGCACAAGAGCGTCTCACTGTGAGACGTGGACTGGTGGATAAAGTCCACTGCGATGGCGGCGGGGGTAAGACGGGCGGGTTGTGGACACACCTCATCGCCCACCCGCGTTATGCCGGAATATAAAGGAATAAAGTGAATTTGGCCCTGGTAGCTAACACGGCATCCCTTTAGGTCGCCAAGATCCTGTACCAGTCCCACCTCTACTGGGGCCTCCGAAACAGAGTGGCAGACCGTCAGACAGGTGCCTACCTTTTGGTTCCGTTCCCCGGCGGCCGCAATAACGATGTCCAAGGCTTGACCATTGGACTGTGTGGAGCGGCCCGCCAGGTGAGGTGGAATGCACAGACCACGAAGCCATGAAAGCTACCAGGCTGTTCGCGCTGCGAACTCGAGCCGCGTCTTCCCCTCGCAGGCCTTTAAGGCCCGCTGGGCGCGACTCGCTGCGTAGTGGACCCGGCGCTCCCGGCCTGGGGATCTCTCTAGCTCTGCTAAAGGTGCCGCACGGCGGGGCCCAGTGGACCCATCTCAGGTCTTCGTGTGAGAGCACTGCTCTCAGCAGATTGCGACCTAGCTGTGTACAGAGGTCGAGCTGCAAGACCTTCAGGCCTCTGGCCTTAGTCTTGTGGTCTACTGCAACGTTCGAGAAACCCTTCTCGACGGCCGCCTTACTAAGGCGGCCGAGGCCGCAGAAAACTTCTACGAAAAGTGGCGGACGGGGAGCCGCTCGCTGAGCGGGCTCTGGGGACGCAGTGCCGAAAGCGGTGTCTGCCGGCACGCTTTGCTGTTCAGCCAACAACAGCGGCGGAGGGCTTTGGCCTGCCGCTATCTCCTCTTGAGTCGGCGGCGCTGCCGCCGAGCTCCCTGGCTTACTCTTTGCAGGGAGTTGCGGCGGCTTTGCCGACTGGGGCGGGTCAGGGCTCTGCCCTGCGCGTGGCGTCTGGGCAGGCGTGCCTTGCGCGGCTGAGGTGGCAACTTCGGGCTCACCGAAGAAAGGGCACCTAGTCAAGCGGCCCCCGCGTCTTTGGGGCATTCCGCTGCTCCGTGCTCGGAGCTGCCACAGCTCAGTTCCTCAAACTTCGCATCGCTGATGCGGTCTGGTTGGTCAGCGACGCTGTACGCTAACGTACCGAAGGTGCGGATATCTGCCGCAAGGAGCTTCGCCGACTCGGCGTCTCCTAGGAGTTGCTGAGCTCTGCTCGAAAATTCGGCGACGCTGTCGACGAGATTCGCCATCGTCCTGACAGGGGAGAGAAAACTTCAAGAGAGAGAGCAAGCAAGCACTGTGCAGACTGCAGGACCCTACTAGGACAGACAGGCAGACGCTCTCGCTCTCTTCAATCTGCATCGAAAGACTTGCTGCTCCAGCAAGTCTTGCAGTGCGGCCGACCTCCCTCAAAACTGTATCCGAACACTGTTCGGAGGGTACTGGTGTACGCCGCTGGCGTCTCTACCAGTCGCGGTAGTTCCAGCGCCGGTCGTGGTCCCACGACCAACGGCCCCGGTACCACTGGTCCCGGTCCTCATCATCGCGGCGGGGCCACTGGCCCTTGCCTTTGCCCTTGCCGTCTCTGCGGCGGGCCTCCCGATCGCGCTGCTCGCGCTCACGGGCTTCGGCTGCCTCGCGCTGCAAGGTCAACCGAAGGGACTCGGGCGGCCCCCTAGTAGGGCGGCGATCGCCCTTGTACTCGAGCTTGCCGTCTGTCCTCGGGACACTGCCCGGGCAGGTGTATCTTTTGGCGCAGCGTGTGCAATGCATCACGCCGCGTACACTAGCTGGCGTATCCTCCCGCCACCTCCCTCTACACCTCCGGGGAGTACGTAGCAAGCCTAGTTCAAACTCACTGGCTTCAGTAGCACGGACAACACGAACTTCTCTCTTTTTAGCGTTGTGGCGAAGTCCCGCGTTAGCCCGGAGAAGAACTCTAGCCTTCGGCTAGCTAATCTCCAGGGTGGGTTGGGTGGGCACTCGAAAATTGCCCCCCAGTAGCTGGGGGCCTTTCAGCACAATGGCCACGGAGTAGCACACTCTCAAACCCCTTCGACGTTTTCTAGCGAAACACCTTCGATGTTTCAGACAAGGATACTAGCGCTAGCATACACGGTCGTACCTCGTCCCTCGGCACGAGTGCGTACACTAGCTAGCGTATCCTCCCGCCACCTCCCTCTACACCTCCGGGAGTACGTAGCAAGCCTAGCTTTAGCTATCTGGCTTCACGCAGTAGCACGGACAACACGAACTTCTCTCTTTTTAGCGTTGTGGCGAAGTCCCGCGTTAGCCCGGAGAAGAACTCTAGCCTTCGGCTAGCTAATCTCCTTGCGCAGCCGTAGGGCTACCAGGGACCTAGCTTACGGGCCTTCTTAGCGAACCTCGGAGCCTTGGGCTCGACGGTTCTCTTCCTCACTCCTAGCTCTTGGAAGTAGCTAGCCGAGTGTTCGAGGAGACGGCCCAGCACACGCCACTCTAGCTTTTTCCCCTCCAGGTTCAACCTGAAGTCCGGGGAGAAACTAGCGAAGTTCTCGTTCGTGAGGTCGTCCGCTAGCTGGTTCAGATCCCTGCGGATCCACTGTAGCTGAAGCTCACAGTTCTTAGCGGAGAGTTCCTCTGCTAGCTCCATCAGCACCAAGGTCGATGGGAACTTGGTCGTCATAGCTTTCTTCAGTAGCGCCTCGTTGGACTGGTTGTCTGTGTACCCACGGATAGCGACCTTGGAGGTCTTCTTAGCATCCCCTTCTGGGACCCAGAGTTTCACACCAACCAGGGTGGCCAGTAGCTCCAGTGCGGCTATGACCTTGTTCGGGTCCCCCTTAGCGAAAGCCCAGGGGGCCCACTCCTTCTTCACCTCTAGCGAGAACCAGGGGCCGGGATCCCCATGCGTCCTCTAGCCCCTCGGCCTAAAGACTCGAGGTCGTCGGCATAGAGTAGCATGTCAAGCGGGAACGATGGCCCTAGCAGGTGGTACGTGAGCCGAAGCCCACACGCCGCTATACGGGTCCACCAGTAGCTAGCGCAAGATAGCCCGAAAGTCCCCACCAGATTCACGTAGACCGTCTGGCTGTCGGGGTCCCCCGGTATAGCTTCTTCGGTGTCAATCTGACAACCCAGGTAGCCATGCTCTCCCTCCGCATGCTTGTAGCGCCTGTGGGCCTTAGCGATGTCCCCGACCACGGAGAAGGCCACCTCGTTAGCGTCGATGTGCTCACGGAGTAGCTGCTTCTTCTCCCTAGCCCCCGGGGCCCGGATCTTGTCGCGGCACTTGATGCGGTGGTTGACCCGGACCCCGTGGGTAGCGTCGTGGACCATCCTCTTCTTTCCACTAGCCTCGTCTTCCACGATGACGGCTAGCGCAGCAATGGCTCTATGCTCACCGTAGCGGGCCTTGAATTCGCCTAGCGTCATCTTAGCCATGAGGCCTTCCGCGACGTCCTCCTCGAACTTTTCCCTAGCGAACTCCCGGTACTCCTCCACGGAGGAGTAGTTCGGAACCCAGGCTAGCGCGGCCTCCCAGGGAGCGTTTTCCAGGGGCCACTTTAGCTGCTCTTCGAAGACGTGTGGCGTCCGGGGTAGCAGGTCCCGGACTCCCACCGGTAGCCCTTCCTCCGCCTATGAACGTCGGTGCAGCCCTGGGTCCCCCCAAACCCCTAGTGCAAAACGGGTAAGGGTTGGTCGAGGGTTCGGTTCTGGAAGCTATTTCGGAATACAGCTTACACTGTCGCATCCAACACCAGGTTTGACACTGTGTTTTGCGGTTTAAAGATAACTTAATTTTTTGTTTTGGCCTAAAATGACTGGTGTCCTGTCGTTGGCAGATCTTGTCTTTCTAATTATACAAAACTGGGGCAACTCGAAATTTCGGAATATCTCAAATGGGAGGTCTGCTCTCCACGAAACATTCGAAACATATATGCACCGATTCCAATCGTAATATAAATTAAGAAACACTGCAATTCACAGCATATGTTCCAGCTGACATGTGAAATGCAATCGCTGAAGCTCGGACTCTTTTTGGCTGCAAAGCCGATCGGGGGAATTCGTGAAACGATCCCTGTTTGCCCCGACCTCGGCACAAGGCCTACGAGATCAACGGGGCACAATATCCCCCCGTCGATTGGCTAGGTGCCCCGAGTGCGTGAGCTCACCAGCATGACATCAAGTCGACAGCAGCCTCCGAATGAGGCTCTCGTCGAGAGGGTAATCCAACTTCGCCTTGCTGGTGCAGACGGCCAAGGCTTCTGTTGAATCACCTCTGCTTGGTCCATCCGCGATGTTTGAGAATGATGGGACCCTTTCGTACCAGCTATACGAAGGTGCCTTAGAATCCGCCAGTGCGAAAGCCTGAATCAAGGATGACATCGAGGGACTATCCGAGATGCCCTTAATCAAGCCAAAGCGAGCCGATTCATTGTCAATCCACCATATCAAGCGCCTGTGATCAAAGGTGGAGGCCAGGGCCCATCTAAGGCATACAACCGCGTACAACTCGATCTGACAAATGAGCTGGGTCCCAACATCGGCCTCCCAACGGGCGATAAGTTGCTCTGGGACCAGACCCTCATAAGTCCACGACTTGCCCGAGGCTGTGTCAAAGATGACAGCGCCAACACCAGCTCGGCCCTGCTCCCACGCGCCATCCGTGAAGACGTGTATGGGAGCACGGCTGTCCCACACACTGAGCACACGGGGGCTCAGCGCCCGGAGGGCCTCAATGCTGTTGACACAGAAGCTGCGGATCGCCTTCGGAGAGGCGGGGCACGAAACCTTTGTCAAGCGAAGCAGCTCCTGGCAGGTCAAGCGCAAGGCCCGGCCATTAACATAGCCGGCAGAGAAATTCAAGAGCCCATGAGCGACCTGTGCCTCGCGCACTGTGATAGCACCTCTGTCAAGGAAACCCTGAAACAACGACACAAGTTGCTCTATGCGTCCGGCTTTGTTTTGAAGAGTCAGGCGTCCCCTATGCACCCCATCAAGCTGCATCGACATTCCAAGGACCTCGAAGCTTGCCGCAAAGGGAACTCCTTTCGTGTCTTTGCCCACGCGGGCATGACCCCAGCCCAGAAGGTCGAGCAGCGAGGTCGTAGCCCACGTGGCGCTATCAGCCGTATTATTCGGTGATAGAAGGGGGAAGTCATCGTTGAACACGGAGCTTGGCACGAGCAACATTTTGTTTAGGAGGAAGGATATTGCTTTTGACACCCTGTTGAACGCAAAGACCGACGATGTGCAACCGAATAAAAGCGAGTGGCTCACGTAGAACTTGGGCCTTCCCTGTTTATCAAGAAAGAAGACTACGGAGACTTGCAGGTCCCGCTCGGAAACACACATTTGCTTGTAGGCTTTCGTCAAGTCGAGGCATCTGGCGACCCAGGGCACGGCCCCTGGTTTGGAAGGGTCGGCTAGGATTCGGCGTGCGATCTCAAGCACCATGGCCGACAGGTAGTCAGCGTCCTCAAGCTCAAGTCGCATCGTCGAGGTGCTGGCACTGTTCACGAGTGCCTCCTTTGCATCGTCAATGGGCCGAAGCTTCCCTGGTTTCTGCTCCAAGACAAATCTGCGGATGCACGACCAACGGGTATGGCCGAACAGCTGGGACACTTGATCCTCCGTGTAGGGTCCTAGCATGAACCCCAAGTCCACCTCCTCTTGGCACGCCTGCTCGAGGTGGGCAAGCTGATCTGCATCCAGAGTTCTGGAGCCAGGCGCGGTGAGAGCCCGCCGTCTCCAGTCGGCGGAGTCAAGGAACTCGTCCCTCGACATGGTAGCCGGGACAATCTTCTGCGGGTAACAAGAAGGGGTATCCTGAAACCCAACGAGGTCTACACCCTTTTCCATGAGCTGGACTACCCCCATATCCCAGTACTCATGCTCCTTGAGGAGCGCCTCAAAGAGTGAAAGGTTCTTGCTTGTAAGCACTTTCTTCATATGGCCGGGAAGGGCCTGGTGCCTGGCCTTCTCAGAACAGCTGAGTTTCTTGACAAGAATTTCAGCCTTAGCAATCGCTAACTTCCTCTTGAGCTCTAAGACCTTAGGGGTTGTCGTCATCACAGCTTCAAGGGCATCCAGGAAGTGTTTGGATAACGGTCTAGCAGCGTCAAGGGGGTGAGGGCAGCTTAAGGCTTTACTCAGAAACTCGGAGGGGGAGTGCAATATCCCCACTTTCCACTGCTTTCTTGAAGCCTCTGGTCCATCCTCGGTTGATCCCCCCGCGAACCTGGCAGAGAGGATGCGCTCGCAGGGCTGAAGTTTAGAACCTTGCGGGACTACCTTAAAGGACCGGTACTCAGGAACCAAAGGGGCATGGCGCTTGGTCTGACGTCCCAGCGCGGCGGTGGAAGCCTCTTTGAGTCGAGTGATCGGACTCGGCGTGGCGGACCTAGCCTTGGCACACTGCAGCAGGCAGTCCGCGATGCGGTTGCAAAGAATCTGTGGGTAGGCAGCGGGAACGGCCCAGGCGCCGGGGCGCGGACCATGCCAATGCTTGCCGTCGCAAGCGACCGCTAAGGATTCGAAGACACGAGGCGTGCCAAAGAGGCGGGTCAGAGCCCGACTAGAGCCCCCGTGCATGCAAATGGGAAAAACAACCTTCTGAAGCCCAGCCCACTTCGAAAGAACCTCGGATGGCAAACGGGAACGCGCGCAGGACGTGAGCAGGGCCCAGCCTTCGCTCCGGTCAGGCTGTTCAAGAGACACCACAACATCATTTTGGGCGCACCAGCCGATGATGTCGCAAATGAACTGTGCGAGGGCCTTGTGGTCCGAAAGAATCGGAGGTGCCAGATGGACTGCAAAGGGTTTTCGAGCCTGAAGCACATCCCAGATGACTGACTGACCAGAGGCAGTGGCTAGGTCAAGCTTGCAGACCGGCGCCTTGGGATGGTTGACTTATCGTTCAAAGATCGTGCTTTGTGTTTTGATGTCTATCATGTTTGAACCTTCAGGGATGAATGCTTGCACTCGCACATGTCACATGCAAGAAGTTCAAAGCTCGACGCTATTTTCACACGGTGGGGTAGCAAGTACCGCACACGGCCGATATCTTCGAACTGTCGGTCCTGTGAGACACAAGACTCTTTTCGTCCCCTCCGCAAGGAGTACTAGCCACTCTCAAGCCGTGCACGGCTCACAATCTGAACCTTAGTGAACAGCCTGCCAGTCGACGACGAGCAAGACCGAAAGCACTGCGAAGCAGAGAGCCAAGACCCGAACCAGGTCTTAATGCACAAGGCATACCTGAGTGACCTCAAGCAGAGGTCCAAAACTTCCTGAGGTAGCACAACACGGATGCATTCTCCGCACGTTCCACAGACAAATTAGGGTGGAGAGGGTGGGTATTTCAAATAAAACTCTCGCCCGATTCAGGGCTTCCTGCCCCTTCGAGAGGTCAAGCTGCAACGGGCGAATGTATTCTTCAACTGGTTCACAGCATGTATAAATGAGGGTTCATAAAAAGGCAGTGTAAAAGCAAAGCCCTAAAACAACAAATCAAAATTGGACTCAGTTCTCTGAGTCATTTTGTCATGTTGTTTTTCTTCGAACGATAAAGCCATATCTTCTGCAAGTGTTCAAAGAATGTAACTTATCGTTCAAAGATCGTGCTTTGTGTTTTGATGTCTATCATGTTTGAACCTTCAGGGATGAATGCTTGCACTCGCACATGTCACACGCAAGAAGTTCAAAGCTCGACGCTATTTTCACACGGTGGGGTAGCAAGTACCGCACACGGCCGATATCTTCGAACTGTCGGTCCTGTGAGACACAAGACTCTTTTCGTCCCCACTTCCTGGAGTCGCAGTGTTAAGCAGGCAGATTCGAAACTCTCTTCACAATCGATAACACCACTTTGGTCGCCTCGACGGACTCATCCTTGAATCCTAACTTCCTGACTCTATCAAGTTTCATCCTTGAGGGTTCGTCAGCCAGATTGGCTGGTGATGCCACTCTCGCATACCACGGCAAGATGCCGTGGACATACTCAAGAAAATTGACCTCATCGATAAGAATCCCAGCAACCCCTTTCTTCGAAGAGCCGGCGATGTATGCGTGTCTCGCAGCATCATTATCGATATAACAAATCACTCCCGTTCCAGCCACAGCACCCGGCTGTTCGTATGATTCTGCGAAAGCAGCCGTCTTCTCGACTAAGAGCTTGAGACCGATCAAGACTCCGAACATTTCGAGCTCATATATGATCGTATGCTCATCTTGTAACGACATCGACTTGGCTTGCTGCTCTGAGATCGGCACGCTGAAGAAAGAAAGTGCAGAACCTGCCCCGGTAAGAAGGACTCCCCCAAGGCCTCCGGTTCCTGATTCCGTCTCAAACGCCGCATCGGTAAGGATCATAAAAGTCCTGCATGAAACTTGTCCCACTAACCTCGGTTGGGCCATGTCAAGGAACTTACCAAACTCTTCAAGTCGTTTTTTGGCCATCGACGAAAGCTTCGACCTACCAGTGTAGGCATGCTTTGTCACCTCTGTCAGGCACCTTCTCCCCAGTCTACCGAAAAACTGGGCTTGAGCAAACTGTAGCCTACCCCGCAGTTGTAAAGCTTCCTTCTGAGTCATGGCTCCCTTGTCCAGGAAACCCTTGATCGCAGCAGTAAGTTCCTTGCGTCGTTTCTCAGTGTTCCTGACCTTCAGAACTCCTGACCCCGTCTGGTCAAGCTCGAAAAGAACGCCAAGGGCCTCGAAGCTAGTGTTCCACTCCGTTGTCTTATCAGCTGACAGTTTCCAACCTAACAGCTTCATAACTTCATCGAAAACGTGCGAACACGAACTCCTATCTCCTCCAAGAGCGAGCAGAACAAAGTCGTCGAAGTAATTCGTGGTTGGGATCCTGGCCCCTTTGACCAGGATAGTCCAAAGAGCTCTCGCCACCCTGAGGAAAAAATACACGGCCTTGGTGGAGCCGAAGGGCACAGCTAGTTGTTGGAACAACTTGGGCTTCTCCTCTGCCGGGTCGTAGACCGAGAGGTAAGAGAAATCTAAGCTTGTATCAGATACCGCCAATTGTCTGTAAGCCCCCTTCAGATCCGCCGTTTTCCCGTACAAAGCGTTCAGGTTCTTCTTTCGAGCAGCACTCGAGAGTGTATTTATCAACATAGCAATTTCGTCGATAGAGTGCGTGATGGGCTTTTCAGAGACTGTGACCGTATCGTTAATCAAACTCGAGGAGTAGTTGTCAATAGGTCGCAGCTTCTCCCCTTGCAGTAGCGGAAAACGGGAGCTGACCAAACATCGTTTCGGCAATGACTCGAAATCATAAGGTCCCGAGAGGTACCCACTCTGCACCTCTTCCATCGTCTTGTCCCACAACAGCTGGTCAATTTCCTTATCACCCGACGACCCAGTCTTCGCCCGGATCTGCTGTTTGATTTCATCAGACATCCCCAAAAGTTGTTCAGTATCCAACCTAGCAGGCTTGAGCTTGGTATCCAGCACCCCGGTGATAGGAATGTCTCCCGTCAGCGTGGCTCCGTCGATGAGTTCCTGAACCACACCCATATCATCATACCCAATGTCTCGCAGCATCTCTTCGAACAGCAAGATACGTTTGGGTTGAAGGATCTTCCTTCTGTGATCCGACATGCCAGCTTTCAGCTTGGCTTCCTCTGGTTCCAACTCTTTGGCTCTTCTGGCCCACTTCTCGATGTAATTCTTCCTCTGAGAACGAACCATTCCCGGTTTGTGTACTAGGTCATGAACGAGGTCTCTCAAATCCTTGTTGCACTTGGATAACTTATGATATGGGTGTCCAATCTTACCTGCTTTGGCGATAAATTCGATGGGATCCCATGGGATGCCCACTCGCAAAACTGAGGCTCCATTCAAGTTTTGCATTTCCTGCTGGAGTTGCGGGCTCAATTGCCCCCCTGACTGAGTACGCGACAGAAGCTGGGAATCCTGAAACCCAACGAGGTCTACACCCTTTTCCATGAGCTGGACTACCCCCATATCCCAGTACTCATGCTCCTTGAGGAGCGCCTCAAAGAGTGAAAGGTTCTTGCTTGTAAGCACTTTCTTCATATGGCCGGGAAGGGCCTGGTGCCTGGCCTTCTCAGAACAGCTGAGTTTCTTGACAAGAATTTCAGCCTTAGCAATCGCTAACTTCCTCTTGAGCTCTAAGACCTTAGGGGTTGTCGTCATCACAGCTTCAAGGGCATCCAGGAAGTGTTTGGATAACGGTCTAGCAGCGTCAAGGGGGTGAGGGCAGCTTAAGGCTTTACTCAGAAACTCGGAGGGGGAGTGCAATATCCCCACTTTCCACTGCTTTCTTGAAGCCTCTGGTCCATCCTCGGTTGATCCCCCCGCGAACCTGGCAGAGAGGATGCGCTCGCAGGGCTGAAGTTTAGAACCTTGCGGGACTACCTTAAAGGACCGGTACTCAGGAACCAAAGGGGCATGGCGCTTGGTCTGACGTCCCAGCGCGGCGGTGGAAGCCTCTTTGAGTCGAGTGATCGGACTCGGCGTGGCGGACCTAGCCTTGGCACACTGCAGCAGGCAGTCCGCGATGCGGTTGCAAAGAATCTGTGGGTAGGCAGCGGGAACGGCCCAGGCGCCGGGGCGCGGACCATGCCAATGCTTGCCGTCGCAAGCGACCGCTAAGGATTCGAAGACACGAGGCGTGCCAAAGAGGCGGGTCAGAGCCCGACTAGAGCCCCCGTGCATGCAAATGGGAAAAACAACCTTCTGAAGCCCAGCCCACTTCGAAAGAACCTCGGATGGCAAACGGGAACGCGCGCAGGACGTGAGCAGGGCCCAGCCTTCGCTCCGGTCAGGCTGTTCAAGAGACACCACAACATCATTTTGGGCGCACCAGCCGATGATGTCGCAAATGAACTGTGCGAGGGCCTTGTGGTCCGAAAGAATCGGAGGTGCCAGATGGACTGCAAAGGGTTTTCGAGCCTGAAGCACATCCCAGATGACTGACTGACCAGAGGCAGTGGCTAGGTCAAGCTTGCAGACCGGCGCCTTGGGATGGTTGACTTATCGTTCAAAGATCGTGCTTTGTGTTTTGATGTCTATCATGTTTGAACCTTCAGGGATGAATGCTTGCACTCGCACATGTCACATGCAAGAAGTTCAAAGCTCGACGCTATTTTCACACGGTGGGGTAGCAAGTACCGCACACGGCCGATATCTTCGAACTGTCGGTCCTGTGAGACACAAGACTCTTTTCGTCCCCACTTCCTGGAGTCGCAGTGTTAAGCAGGCAGATTCGAAACTCTCTTCACAATCGATAACACCACTTTGGTCGCCTCGACGGACTCGTCCTTGAATCCTAACTTCCTGACTCTATCAAGTTTCATCCTTGAGGGTTCGTCAGCCAGATTGGCTGGTGATGCCACTCTCGCATACCACGGCAAGATGCCGTGGACATACTCAAGAAAATTGACCTCATCGATAAGAATCCCAGCAACCCCTTTCTTCGAAGAGCCGGCGATGTATGCGTGTCTCGCAGCATCATTATCGATATAACAAATCACTCCCGTTCCAGCCACAGCACCCGGCTGTTCGTATGATTCTGCGAAAGCAGCCGTCTTCTCGACTAAGAGCTTGAGACCGATCAAGACTCCGAACATTTCGAGCTCATATATGATCGTATGCTCATCTTGTAACGACATCGACTTGGCTTGCTGCTCTGAGATCGGCACGCTGAAGAAAGAAAGTGCAGAACCTGCCCCGGTAAGAAGGACTCCCCCAAGGCCTCCGGTTCCTGATTCCGTCTCAAACGCCGCATCGGTAAGGATCATAAAAGTCCTGCATGAAACTTGTCCCACTAACCTCGGTTGGGCCATGTCAAGGAACTTACCAAACTCTTCAAGTCGTTCTTTGGCCATCGACGAAAGCTTCGACCTACCAGTGTAGGCATGCTTTGTCACCTCTGTCAGGCACCTTCTCCCCAGTCTACCGAAAAACTGGGCTTGAGCAAACTGTAGCCTACCCCGCAGTTGTAAAGCTTCCTTCTGAGTCATGGCTCCCTTGTCCAGGAAACCCTTGATCGCAGCAGTAAGTTCCTTGCGTCGTTTCTCAGTGTTCCTGACCTTCAGAACTCCTGACCCCGTCTGGTCAAGCTCGAAAAGAACGCCAAGGGCCTCGAAGCTAGTGTTCCACTCCGTTGTCTTATCAGCTGACAGTTTCCAACCTAACAGCTTCATAACTTCATCGAAAACGTGCGAACACGAACTCCTATCTCCTCCAAGAGCGAGCAGAACAAAGTCGTCGAAGTAATTCGTGGTTGGGATCCTGGCCCCTTTGACCAGGATAGTCCAAAGAGCTCTCGCCACCCTGAGGAAAAAATACACGGCCTTGGTGGAGCCGAAGGGCACAGCTAGTTGTTGGAACAACTTGGGCTTCTCCTCTGCCGGGTCGTAGACCGAGAGGTAAGAGAAATCTAAGCTTGTATCAGATACCGCCAATTGTCTGTAAGCCCCCTTCAGATCCGCCGTTTTCCCGTACAAAGCGTTCAGGTTCTTCTTTCGAGCAGCACTCGAGAGTGTATTTATCAACATAGCAATTTCGTCGATAGAGTGCGTGATGGGCTTTTCAGAGACTGTGACCGTATCGTTAATCAAACTCGAGGAGTAGTTGTCAATAGGTCGCAGCTTCTCCCCTTGCAGTAGCGGAAAACGGGAGCTGACCAAACATCGTTTCGGCAATGACTCGAAATCATAAGGTCCCGAGAGGTACCCACTCTGCACCTCTTCCATCGTCTTGTCCCACAACAGCTGGTCAATTTCCTTATCACCCGACGACCCAGTCTTCGCCCGGATCTGCTGTTTGATTTCATCAGACATCCCCAAAATTTGTTCATTATCCAACCTAGCAGGCTTGAGCTTGGTATCCAGCACCCCGGTGATAGGAATGTCTCCCGTCAGCGTGGCTGCGTCGATGAGTTCCTGAACCACACCCATATCATCATACCCAATGTCTCGCAGCATCTCTTCGAACAGCAAGATACGTTTGGGTTGAAGGATCTTCCTTCTGTGATCCGACATGCCAGCTTTCAGCTTGGCTTCCTCTGGTTCCAACTCTTTGGCTCTTCTGGCCCACTTCTCGATGTAATTCTTCCTCTGAGAACGAACCATTCCCGGTTTGTGTACTAGGTCATGAACGAGGTCTCTCAAATCCTTGTTGCACTTGGATAACTTATGATATGGGTGTCCAATCTTACCTGCTTTGGCGATAAATTCGATGGGATCCCATGGGATGCCCACTCGCAAAACTGAGGCTCCATTCAAGTTTTGCATTTCCTGCTGGAGTTGCGGGCTCAATTGCCCCCCTGACTGAGTACGCGACAGAAGCTGGGAATCCTGCGGGAGCGCCCCAAGCTCCGGCAGCACACGGGCGCCTTGCGGGACCCGCCAGTCCTGTTTAAGGCGCTTCGACCCGCCAAACGGATCCTCAACCTGTGGTGGCAGAAAGACATAGACCACCAACTTCCATTCAGACACCACTTCCGGCATCGCCCCACGTGGCTGATTCATAGCCGAAACTCGCAGCGATTTGTTAGTCAAGGCCGGGCTACGGCACGGCAGCTGTCGCTGAGTCAAACCTGCAATGAAAACCTCAGCTACCGCCGTGGCAAAAACCGGCGGGTAGCCTGTCTGCGCCTCCGAGCGCTGGTGCACCTTATGTCCCAGCAGAGCCGACTCCCTGCGCACAGTGAGGACTTCAGGCATATTAGACAACACGAAGCTGCGCTGTTTGCTATGTGGGTCCCAATACCGCCAATCAACCTCCACCTGATGCGGAGGGTGCTGTGCTGCTGGTAGGCGATTCTCCCAAAATGGAGAGGACACCGAACCCTCAAGAATCATGGGCAGGTTGTTGCTTAAGCAGCCAGCCATCACGGCCAGAATGAAAGCTGTAGTGACAGGCTCCGAGGCAGGCTTAGGAATACATATCATAACACCCGCAATCTTCCGTTTGTCAAGCCATGTTAGGACAGAGTCACAAGCCTCCCGCGTCGACAAGTCCATCTGAAGCACTGGGGCCATAGCCGCCTTCTGCTTGAATCGGTCCACTCCGTAGGAAAAATAGCCCTGCTTAATCAAAGCTGAAGCCACACGAGCTTGGCCTGCAAAACACTGCAAAATGGCCCTGCTTGGCTCCTGACTCTGAGGGGCCGGAGAATTGTCCTGTGATGCCACGAGAGGTGAGGGGAGCGCCCCCTCGCTCCCTGCGTGCTCCAAGGAAAACGACTCAGACGAAGCACTCGGCATCGTAGGGGCATCCAAAACTGTAGGTTCTACCAAAATCGGAGAATCGTCGACATCCACCATCTTAGAAGCAGGGTCCACTCCCACTCCAAAAGGTGGCGAAGCCGGGGCCGCGACATCAGCTACAGAGATACCACCTGAAACGGGTTCTTCCGAAGATGCCATCTCCACGTCCGACGCCAAAGCGACGGGGCAAGGCGGGGGATCCGCTAGTCACAGCTTCTTGGGCTTCAAAGGACACTTACCCACCGGGTGGTCACCACCGCATTTGAAGATGCAGCAAGTATGATCGCCCTTCTGGCAGTTTGCATCCGAACAAGTCCCGAGGTTGAAGCCGTAACAGACCTTGTTGCCTTTATGATTCCATGCAGAGGCTCCCTGGAAGCGAAGTCCCTCAGGTAACCATTCCGGCTTGCCGGCCCCCGAGCCTTTGCCCTTGGGCGACTTGCCCTTAGCTTGCCAGGTGTTCTTGCCTTTCCCTGTCCAATTATCAGAGCCTTTGGAGTTCCAATCACCCTTACCTTTGCCATTCTTCCCCTTCCAGGGCGCAGTATCGCCGTAAGGGCCAGGACGACCGCCTCGGCCATTAGCATTCTTGCCCTTACCGTCCAAGTCGCCCATAGGCAGAAGGGCTACAATTAGGTCGTAATCATGAAGAATAGCCCCGATCGCTGCATCAAGTGGGAGAGTGCCTGAGGCGTCTGCCCGGATGTCTTCACCTGCCTCCGACAACTTGGAAAAGGCAAGCTTGTCAGCCCGCAGAATCTGACGAAGAGACACTTTCCTGTAACCAGGCTGAGCGGGTTTGGTCAGATACCTGAACAAAGAGGCGATGTAAGCCTCATGCTTCTCCCAACTGATCAAGCGAGCAAATGCATAAGCCACTCCTCTGCGACGCAGGGCATTAAGGACCTGCAAAGAGCCCTCAATATCGCGATCGTCCATACCAGCAGTCTCCGTAACCTTCAACTTACCGCCTTCCAAGGACAGACTGGTGGTCAAGGGCTTGATGTTCTGAACCTCATCCTCACGGCTATGGCACTTCTCTGGACCGATGTACTTCAAGCACCGACTCTCCCACTGCTGAACGGCCATGTCAATCATGTCAAGCAATGCATGACTCGGCTCAAGCTGTCCAGTGAGCGAAACTCCTGCGAGCTGAGTCCGAAGCTGATCCATGCGAGCATTACGCTCGGCGACCCCCACCTTTTTAGGGGAAGCGTGTTCCGCAGGTTCTGCCAAATCCTTCAAGGAAGCCACTAGCATGGTCTGAGCTTCCAGTATCAAAGGCCTCAGAGACGCCTTCTCGCCCACCGTGATGCCTACCAACATGGCCTCGCTCCACGTGTCAAACTCAGTCTGAGATAGCACCTGTCCCGGTTGTCCGACACAAAAAGCCAACTGGGCCAAAGTGGTGACCCCTTCACCTTTCAGGGCATCCACGACTCGCTTGGCAAGCGAGATTTCATCCGCTCGCTGCACAAAGAAAGGCGCAGAATCTACGGAACTCGTCATGGCTAAAACACCTGCAACCGAAAGCACTGGCGAAAACGAAGCTCACACAATGTACACGCGCACTATACTAGCACAGCTGGCACCTTTTCGAGCAGGCAGAAATCAAACTGCGCTCTGGGGGAAACACTTGGCACATTGTGGGTGCGCTTGCGCCCGCGCCATAGGGATGCGCCGATAATGATAATGATCACCAAAAGCTCGGCCACACAAGAACATTGGCGACCCCAAAGTCGTGCGATGCAGAACCTGGCTCGTCGGGTGAGCCCAGAAAGATTGTTCCTCCGGGGCCTCTTCATCGGAGTCCGAAACATCAGAAACTACAGCCAAAGCATCATCCTGGTCGTCCTCCACAGCCGCCTGTAGGACTTCCGAGTCCGGTGGAAAAGCAGCCGCCTGCAGGACAGATTCCCGAGTCCAACCTGATGCGAAATGACCTGAACGGGTCTGGTCCGGCAGGAACTTGCCCGTCGCGACTGCATCCAGCACGACAACATACTCACGCAGTGCCGCACTCTGCAACTCGCGTCCATAAACTGCATCGCTGCCAGTCGCAGCGTCCGCGTGATGGCCTAGAACTCGCTTGGTCTCGCGAAGCATCCCGAATTTGCTACACCAAACAAGTGAGGTAACCTTCAACGAGTGCGAACTCACAGCCTGTTCCGACGATGGACGTGGCAGTAAATACCTCAGCCACCTGGTAATTTCGCTGCTAGACAGCGGGTCGGAGGACCAAGACCCATCCGGCAGAGGCGCCGGCAAAAATGGGACATCCGCCTGATCATTCGGCAAACCGGCCTCAGCCCTCCAGGAGGAGCTGACCAAAGGGTGTTTTGGCAATACCCTGGCCAGGAATCACCAGAGGCAGTATACGACGTCGCTGGGTGTCCAGCCGAGACGTCTTGTGCTCGAGCGTCCCTAACTCAATGAAACCCGAGCTCCAGTCCTCGTTGTGCACATCTATCAAGATACTTTTGACGCACCGGATGTCCGATGGTCTTGCCCTCGCATAGAGCATAGCAAGGAAATGCGCCGCCCCGCATCTATCAATGACAGAAATAGAGGGATCACAACAGATCGCGTGCAGTTGGAGAACTTCTGATACTTTGAGGGGCGTCGCCGGGCACCAAGGGTTTTTAGTCTGTAACGCCTTCTTCACCACACCATGAATTCGAGGGCTGCTGAAAACCTCTAGTTGTACACGTAGTCCCAATGTATAATAGCTCCACTTGATAGCACGCAGACTACTGTCCAGTGTGGTGGCCGCAGTCTTGGGCATCTTGAGGACACAATGGATGAAAGACCATAAAGTTTTCTCCGCAAAAGGCGGAGCGTAGCTGGCTTTCAAAAGCCACTCACAAAAGGTACGAACCGGACCCACATGTTTCAAAATGGTATTCTGTGATTTCCCTGCCAAAACTGCCTGAACAGAATCCTGGCCGTCCTCCTCGTCATCAGCCATCAAGGTACACAAATCGAAGAAACTCGAGAAAGCATGCAGTAATGTGAGGACCCGGCGGTACGCCTCTTCGCGACGATCCGCGGCCCTAGGCCCTCGTTTTGCCTTGACTGCACGAGTCCATGCCTGACAATGAGAACCACTCGTCACAGACGGTCCGGAATCCGAAGGCTGTGCTGTCGTCTGAGGAACAGGCGACGAACCAACCAGTCCCTGATAAGGCAGGTTCAAGCCCTGAGGGAAAGCCGCCTTCAATGGATCAAATATGCACAGCATAGCCGGCTGTTCCCAAGGTTGCCGCGGCAACGACGACCGAGCATGGGTTATGTTTCGCATGAACACTTCATTCTCACTCGCTCTAGGGTCGTGGCCAGACATCGCAAGAACTCTGGCAGGAACTCCGCCCCACCAAAACGGTCAAAACTTGAACCGACCGGCGCATGATCAACTACTGTGGGATCAGTGTCTGGTACATGCCATGGCTTCAAGGCCCAACTTTCGTTGCAATAACAAACAACCAAAAGCGAGCATGAACGACTCAAACCGGTCTCGGTTGTTTTTCCATTCAGGAAGATTCTGGTGCTCAGGTCAGCTCGCGACCAGGTCCCTAAAAGGGGTAGGTGATGGCCACACCCAGGATGTAGGTCAGGTCAGACCTAGCCACTGCCGAATCCCGCCCCACAGCCAGTCCTGCATCTCGGCTAGAAATCTGCAACTGTTCGCCAGTTCCGGCGTCCAACTTGACATGGGTCTCCGGGGTCCTGACCTCACAAAGGATGGTCGAGGGCTGTTGGCCTTTGCTGATCGAGCGGCTCCTCTTCAAAATGGTCCTCAAAGTACTGCAATCGGGGTTCATCGTGAGGTGGCCCGGTGAAGCCACCCCAAAAGGGCCTACGGTAGGAGTGGAGCCCTTCTTGAAGTTTTGGGGACGAATGATCCGCTCCCTCAGGATCAGAGGAAGTGCATGCTGCGAGGTCCCATGTGCAAAAGAATAATGATGCGTCTCGGACTCCAGGAGCTCGCGATGCATGGTTGATTGGAGGGGGGCATCCGTGCCCTGCTCCACCACAGGGATCACCAAATGACCCCAGCCTTCTCCCCTGATCTGGAAAATCGTGGGGATTCCATCGACGGTGGGGCATACCACCTCCGCTTGCAGCATAGCGCGAACCACCGCTTCTAGCATGCTTCGAGGAACCTGAAAGGAAAGGAGGACCTCATCGGCAATCCGAGCAATCTCATGCTCATCGGGGGAGGCAAGAACCGGGATGATCCCCTCGTCCCGAGCCGCTGCCGGGCACGGAACTCGCCACTCATCTTCCTCGTTGTTTTGCCTGGCAATCTGCCAGTAATCCGCCCATGCATCGGGAGCAGCATCGTGCTCCCACCGCTGCTTCTTACTGGTGTCGCCCCCGCCCAAATTAGGGCTCAGGATCTGCGCCTTAGCTGCGGCTTTGGGCTGCCAATTTTGGCGCGGCTTCTCCCACTTGTTCCATTTGTGCCCCCAGCCGGCACTCGACGTCGCAGCATCTGATTTCCACTTGGCTGAATCTCCAGCCGACCAAGAATAACCCCCGCTCCAACCAGAGGTCGCCTTATTCCAGGGGTCCGTACCACCCGGTGTGGCATCCGATTCTTTTCGGGACTTCTTCTCCTTCTTCCGCCTGGACTTCTTGGCCTTTGAAGTCTTAGCACGTTTGCTAGACTTGGCCTTCTTGGCCTTGTGGCTTTTGCCCTTCTTGGCTTTCTTCACTTGCTTCCGGAGCTTCGACCTCTTGGCCGGCGACGAACTGTCCGAGACCTCGGTCTCCTCGGAGGAAGACTCGTACTCAGACGAATCAGTCGAGGACGTCATGGCTATCAACTAGACTCGCAAAGAGAATGAGCCCGAAAACTGCAACAGCATCTCTGCGCATCAAGGGGAACTTCGCCCCACCTCACCATGGACTCTTGTCCCAATAGCATCTTGCTATGCTGTAGGCTCTCTGCCGACACACCTTTCTTCCGCCTCATAGGCACGATAAAGACTCCGCCTCCGAAGCGCTGAAGTGCTAACTCTCGCCAACATCCGGCCTGAGCATACAGAAAACTCGCGAAATCGAAATTACTTGCGACGCCATCTCTCCACATTCCGAGGTGGGGGTACAGCGATCTGGGGTCCCGGCGAGACCCGAAGTCTGTCGGGGCACTCACGAGCATAATGACAAGGGCAGCGTATGCCCGCGCGAACCAGCATCTTTGCAACCGCGCGCGTCTTGCCAACTCGCGGCGGTGGGGGCCCCGGCCGCCACACCGCAACGAAGGTGAACTCTCCAGAGGTCTGGAGCTCCTCAGAGGCTGTCTGCATGCCTGATGCAGCCACTGACACAATGTTCGCCGCAGGCTCAGTGGAGCTGCTCGCCTGTTGCCCGGTATTGAGTTCGACAATCGCTGCAGAATCCGAGCTCTTCCCACGCTTCTTGCCCACCTTCCTAGATGGCTTCTTGCGGGCTCGCCGGTCCCGTCCGTCCTTCTTTTTCTTCTTTTTGTCTGGTCGTTTCGTCTGGGCAGGGTCATCCAGGAAATCGAAAGCTGAGCTCCACGATGACATCTCAGCGTCAGTCTCTAAAACCTCTGCCGAATTAGCATTATCCGACATCCCCGCTGAGTTGCTGGAAATTGCCTGAGACACAACGGCTGCAAACGTGGAGCAAAAAGGAAGACCTGTGCATTCTCACCCTGCCTGCCTGCTGCCCCTCGCACTCCGAGAGCAGCGCAAATAATCAGCAAGTCCCCGCTCAGACTTTTATGCAGTGCGAACGAATCTCACAGGTGACAACGTGTTGGCCACTAGCACTGGAGCTGAAAAACTCAGGTGCCTGCCATCCTGGACCAATTGAAAAGAGCTCATCTGAGGAAAGCGACCAAAAAGCTCGAACAAGCGCTGGGACACTAAGTACTTCGCCTGATCAACAATATCTCTGCAACTCAGCTGAATATCGAGCGTGATGGTCATGTAGCTTGTTAGGCGGTCAGTAACGACTCCCCGCATCCTGAAGATATACCCCGGAGGTATGTCCCAGGGCAAGTCTGCCTCGCCCGCCTTTCTCTTCCTCTGAGCAAGAGGCAGGCTACACAAAGTCTCACTACGGGAACTGAGGTTCCAGCAATCCTCGAGGAGCATGCTCCGGATCAGAATTGCGGCCAGCCCAAAACTTCCAATGAAGAAAGCAAGAAACGAGCATCTGCTGAGACTCCAACCGCGACACGCGATCGAAAAGGCGGTCAGCAAGCATGAGCTGCATTCTATGCAGCCGACAGATCTGGATCTGTAATCCACGCATGTGACGTAACACAAAGCTCTCAGTGGATGTAAACGAATCCGAGGGCGTCGGCGCCTCTGCTTCTTCTCCGGTCACTTCAGGTGATTGCATGCGCCTGAACCACAGGTCAGTGCTAAAATCACACACCGAAAACCAACAAAGCTCCAGCTAAGTGGGCAACCGCAGATCGCTCTGCAAGTTGAGCAGGATACTGTAAGCTCAAGGCTCAAGTCGCATTCAAGCAGAAGAATCACTTCATCAAGACCTCCCAGCGAGAGACTGAGGCACAAGCATCCGGCCCGCCCCCCTATTTCAAATAAAACTCTCGCCCGATTCAGGGCTTCCTGCCCCTTCGAGAGGTCAAGCTGCAACGGGCGAATGTATTCTTCAACTGGTTCACAGCATGTATAAATGAGGGTTCATAAAAAGGCAGTGTAAAAGCAAAGCCCTAAAACAACAAATCAAAATTGGACTCAGTTCTCTGAGTCATTTTGTCATGTTGTTTTTCTTCGAACGATAAAGCCATATCTTCTGCAAGTGTTCAAAGAATGTAACATAATGATCGAAGGTAACGACTTCGAACCCCAGGTCGAGCATAGCCCTCGACAACCCGGCGGACCCGGCAAAAAGCTCGACGAAGAGGGGCCGCAAAGGAATCTGCGGCGGCTCACAGTGGCCGACAGAAGCAGGCGAGCCTTCAACCCTAGGGGACGGGCAGGCAGGGCCTAAACCACTAGGGGCGGTCTGGGATTGGAGCATCGGAGACACGGTGGCAGCCGGAGCGCCCGCCCTACACGACTCCCGAACGAAGCCGAGTTTGAGGAGCAGGTCGGTGGGAAGCCTGCCGACATCACGAACTGAGTAGGCTGCAACCACGACCCGAGGGCCGTTTGACCAGGGCAAGGTACAGTGCAGCTGGCAGGGATCGAAGTACAGGCATTGCACAAGATCCTGTTCTGTACCCTGGTGTTTCTTGCCTTCGAACAGTCTGGGCGATGAGCCCTCGGGGTCAGAGACCCAGAGGCCACCACCGTGGAAGTCTGAGCAACGAATGAGGGCGCTGGTGCCAATGTTGTTGCGATCGCGATGCATGCAAGTGAGGTTGTCCCGAAGGAGCACCAAGGATGTGAATGGAAAAGAGTCCCCGACAATCTGCTTTGCAAAACGTGCAAGGAGCTCGGTGCTTGCAGGGAGGCTACGAGTATTAGCAAAAATACCCGAAACACCCCCGTGGACGTAGGCACCACAGCTGAAAAGAAAAGCATTGGGGCCACTTGTCGGCCGAACACTTGTCTCACAAGGCAAAAGGAATGACAGTTGAACCACAGCTGAGGCTGAGACCTCGGCCTTCGCCAGATGTTTCAGCGCAAAACTCTCTGCATCCTGTGGTTCACGGCCACTAGGGCCTGACGGAGAAATCGGATTCGGAGACGCGGCCCCCTCGGGCAGGATCTCAGGCTCAGGATCTGCGGGGGCCCGCACCCTTCAGGCGGGATCGGTGTGGGTGCACTCGATGAACGGCACCGGCCTGCCACACCCGCGGTAGTAGCACCCATGGTATCCCCTCGGGCATCGGCCCTTCTTGGGATTCTTGTACTTCCAGCGGCCCTGATTCCACAGAAAGCACCAAGGTTTGCCGTCCTCACTTTGGGGACACAGCCGTCAGGCAGGGTGTATTTGGTCTTAAGTGGTAGCCTCGGATCGGGAAGGGGCCGCTTATTCGGATGAGGCATCGGAGGGGGCTTTACAAGCGGCAGCAGGTGAACGAGCACATCCGTACTCTTACTCAAGCTGTCAATCTCAAGGTCGAGGGGCCTGACGGCTCCTGCAGAAGCTTGGATCTGACCCATAAGATTGTGCGAAAGAAGCTGAAAGAGTTCACGATCGGCGGCCATGACCTGCGAGAGGGAAATGGCGTGATACCCCGCAGGGGGCTCCCTCTGCATTCTTGAGAATAAGCCTTGGACCCACGTTTCAAGCACTGTGAACGAAGCGAGCTGAGCAAGCTCCATTGCGAGGGACCTGCGGGTCCAAGCCTGCCTCAATTGCATGTCAGTGCTGACGGTGCACCTCAGC